ACCCCAAACCACCCCCACTCCCCCAAGCCACACACCCCACACCCCTCAAACGCCACAACACGCTACGCCACAGTGTCTGTGTCTCTCTCTGTCTGTCTCTGTCTAATTTAATTTTTACATAATAATCTGTACACCTACTTTTTCTAGAAATAATATCTGTAGAGTGCTCTCAAGAAAACTGAAATTCTTAGTGAGTTCATCTTAATAATTTTAAATCACTTGGAAAATTGTAATCCCTCATGTTATAGAAACAACCACTGTAATAAATGTGTATCCTCTACATTTTTTTTTCTTATCGATGAGACTTAATTTTTTTCGTTTTCATTCTTGGAATGTAGTGTATGCCTGGAGGATATTGGCAATGCCACTATTGTGCTCCTAAAGAATCTGGGTCTTCAGATGAAAGTGAAAACGTTTCAAATGTTCTGACTAGAAGTTCAACAACAGGGAGGAAGAGGAAAGCCGAGTCGGATAATGTTGACGGCAGCGAATCAGAACATCATCATTCCAAAATGCGGTAAGATCCAAACTTCTTTTTCTCCCCTTTTTAAAGTGACTTCTCACCCTTTCAAGTTTGTTTTAACAACATTAATTCCACTTTATTACTACACTATTCATAAAAATTTTAAAATATTGTATTTTGTGAGATATGTTGTTAGTATTATAGTTTCCTATGCTCATGAAATGTTACTTCTGTAATTTTTCCAATGTCATGAGGAAATTAAGTTAAATAATGTTAGAACCAAACTAGTGTAATAAAATAAATTTCTATACTTCAGGATACGTTATGTTGAGACTGAGTGCTTGTAGCTGTATCATATAGTGTTCCCAAGCTGCCAGCATTAGTGTGCATCTAAAAAAAAAATGCAGTCCTGTACTCACCTACTTAATTTTAGTAAACATGCTCTCAGGACTTCCCTAAGTTACATACCCCAATACAAGTTGTTTTTTTTTTTTCTCACTCTTACTTCGTAAGAAAAGAAAGTTATGTAATCGTGCACCAGAAAATGACAAATTTTCGTCAAAAAAAACAACCGTTATTGCTGGACCTTGGTAATGAAAAAGTGGATAAATCCTGTTCCTCTATACAGGATGGGCCACCAAGGATGGGCCACCTGTATTACTTCTAACTGGTTCGCGATATCGAGGTACAGTTTTCACTTAACAATGCAGAATCGTAGGGGGCAAGTAATATGCTGTAGTGATATGGTTTGTAATATTTTTCGTTTTTGAGAAATTTAATTATCTTTGCTTTGTTAAATGGAACTGAATATTTTTCTAATCAGCAGTAGATCAGTTTTAAAAAGAGCAATACACTGATGTATGAATAATAGTACTTTGTATTTGAATTTTGCAGTATAAATTGTCTTGCAGTATGTAATTTAGGTTGTCATTGAAAAGTTCATATATTTTAGATAATCACATGTTCTTTTATTATTTAAATTGTAATCTGACATCTCAAACAACAATTTTACAAATTTGTATCTGTTAGTAACGTTTTAGAGGTTGGCATTGTTTCCTACATTTTCAGATTCTAAACATACTAACTTATGTCAGCATAACATATAATCAAATTTTGGAAAACGGTATTCAGTATTATACGTCATCTCAAATGTTAAATTTTGATTCTATTGACAGGGTAAGTATTCATTTAAGAACAATTACAATTAAGCTTCAAAATTGCAGTTAAATTGAATGATAAGATACATGTGCATACAGTGATTTTTGACAATTTATTCAGTATAAATATTTTGTAAAACGCAGAGAATCAAAATTTTTACATTTGCCATGGCGTATAATACTGTGTACTGTTTTCCAAAATTTGATTATATGTTATTTTGATGTAAGTTAGTATCACGCATAAGTTAGTAAATGCTCCTGAAGTATAGTGGCTCTAAAATAGTACACATAGACAGTACTTCTAAAAAACACATCTCAGTAATATGTCAAAACAATTAGCAGTTATGAATTTTCTAACATTTACACTCAACAGAGTTAGACACATCTTCAATATCTAATCAGTGAAATCACTTTCAAAGCAGTTGAAAAGTAGAATATATTGTTAACAAACCTATTAATATTCACTTTATAATAGCCTTAAAGTAAGACACTGGAATGTAAATATTAAATAACAGTACCGCTTCTAGATTGAAATTGAAGTGCATTAAGTTTTATAAAATTGCAATTGTAATATGAGAAAAATTTAGTTATGTAAGTAATGAAATTATTTTGTTTTGGAAATAAACATTGGAGTTATTCAAGGTAACTATTCTTCTCAGAAGAAGCAGTCAGAAAATCCATTCATCTTAAAAGACATGCATAATTGAAATTATTCTGGTAGCTGGTTATGAATGCTTTACCATTGAGATATATTGAAACTGAAATCCACTTTTCTTGTTTAAATTTTTGCAAGCCATTTTATTTTTTAGGATACACACATAGTCGATATACACATATATGCTTTCCGTGCTACATTCTATCTTCACTGTTTTCAAAAATATTTTAGTTAGTGTTCACTTGGAAGTTCTATTTAATAAGTATTTGACCATTGGCTGTGTACATCTTAATCCTGGCAATGGATTCACCTTCAGATTACACTTAGAGTAGGGAACTATTTTGTACCACAGTGTGTGCCAAGTTTGAATCTAAAGGGAAAATTGAAGAAGTGAATTGCAATAAATCTGCCAACATTTTGTCTCCCACAAGTCTGTCTAAACATCCACACAGGACTTTGAGTGATCCAATGTGCATTGGATGGATGATCCTGGTTTTGGGAATGGCTTTTTTGAGATTCTTCATTCAGGTAGTCATAGGATTCGATGGAGATTTTCATAGGAAATAAAGATTGCTTGTGTTTTGCATGGGTTAAATGTATTGTGGTTCTCTTTGGCTCGAAGGTGGAAATTTTTAAGGGCTTTTGGAGTTTGGATTTTTTTATGGTCATTAGCCTAGCGGGAGGTTCTGACATGGGATTGTTGGGGTGTCGTTATTATACCGGGAGAAAAGGAGGAAGAGGAGTGTCCTCAGGGGTCCCAGCATGGAAAATGTAGTTGGTGGAGGTTTTTAATAGGTAGCACACATGGAACAATTGATTTGTGAGGTAACTTTGGATTTAGAAATGTATGGAAAATGGGGATGGATTTTCACAAAGAGATTTGGACAGTATCAAAAGTGTGGGTAAGATCTGTGAGTAGTTGGAATTTCTTTTGGAATTGTTTGGGGAGTGGCTACTGATATTGTAGTATGGAGAAATTGGAACGCTGGGGAGCAGACCTCAAGGAAACCAAATTGTGTGGAGAGGATAATGGGGGGTGCAGGTAGAGACATGAGTTTTTCATAGTTTCCCCAAGGTTGGGCAGGAGGCTAATAAGACTGTAGTTGGAGGGGTGTCAAGCCCAAATGTCTTGCTAGGTATGAGGATCATGCTAACATGGGTGGTCTTCCAGGAGATGCGTAAAGGGTTAGATAAAGACAGAAGTTCAGAGTTAGGGTTAGGATGTCGATAACAATTTGGAGATGGTGTTTGAGTTGGGAGGAGAGAACTCCATTGGGTCTGGGTTCTTTACTGTAGTCAATAATCATCCAGATTTGTCATAAATGTTATCAACGTGTTTGACTGAGTGAATCAAGCCATCATATAGAATGATGTTGACTAGTATCAGCAAAACCACGTACTTAAGCTTTGTGAGAACTTTTGAAATTCTGTTGTTACTTTTTGGTCTTGCATGTTGAGAACTTTCAAATTAATATGTGTAATGTGATGCAATTATGATAATTTATGTTTATAATATTTCTATTGATTAATGATCGTTGACATTCAGATATGGTTACTTAATTGTGAAATTATTGTATTAATATTCAAATGCTACAGTACGTTTGTTCAGTGATTCATGATAGGTAAAACAATGCTTAATTGAAATGTTAGACACAGAATTATCATGAAACCACCATTAATTGCTATTTAATATTTTATTTTCATAATTTTGGTTTCTTCTGATTATACATTCTTCGAAAATATTCACACTTTATTCAAAGGTCTCAGTTGGAAAAAGATTCAAGTTAGTAAACATTGTTCTGTGAATTATTTGGATGCACTTGTTATTAAAAGGATATTGTAGGATGTTAAATAATAAATTTAAATTTATGAAACATGAATACTGTTTCATTGTCACTATGAAAGTTTTAGACTTAAAAAATGAAAATTAAAAGGTTTCGTGTCTTTAATAACTTTATTATCTATAAATAAAAATGACACTGGAAATTTTACAATATTCATATTGTAACATAACACCATACAATTATTTATCAAACCTGATCTAACATCCTAATTTGATAAGTTTTAATCGTGTATTGTTTTAAGATGTCTTATAATACTTATTACATGAGTAACTATATGCTGTTCAAACTATTAAACTTTTCTTTTAATTAAATCAACATTTCTGATATGTATGAGTGTATGTGGTCAGAATATATTTTCAACCCACATTCAAGTGCATCTAAAATTAACTTCTCAAAATTAAAAAGTCTCTTCCTAATTAAATTAAGAAATATTTAATTAAAAAGAATTAGATTTATCTAATAATTAGAAAATAAAAAAAATGACGAAGACAGTTAACATATGCAGACGTAATGAAGTGATTGTGTGTTCTCAGAAGTATACCACTCAATACTGTAGATAGTGGAAACATAATAAATAATTAAAATATTTGTACAGACATACATACCAAAGGATTCAGTAATTTTAAGAAAAGACTAAAATCAAAGAATACTTATCAAGCAAGAAATATAGAACACACTCCTGTATGTTCTACAGCTTTTTTGTTGAGATTTTAGACTTGAAATCCAGTTATGACTACTACTTACTAAACATGATTTACAACTCTCATCACCAACAAACCATTGCAGAACCACATGCTTTCTAATGCATTCAACAGCATAATTTTTAATTTCGGGGAGGACTGAGAGTACATTCAGTACAACTAATACAAATGTGCAGATACAAACACATGACAAAGGAGATAAAGATAAAAATGTCTAACATCAACTGATACCACAGCCAAGAAAACACGAACTTCAGTTTTAGCAGTTTTGTCTAGTTGTAATGACTCGCATTACATTCCTTTCTCAACACCGTATATTTACAATGAATTCAGTATTTGAATTTCACTCCCTATTTGAAATCCATCTGGTTGTTAAAAAGGAGGTTGCCTCATTAGTCATGTTAATGATGATGATAATAATAATAATAATAATAATAATAATAATAATAATAATAATAATAATAATGATAATAATAATAATTTTAAAAAAATACATTTCAATAAGCCAAGATTAGCTCAATAACAATATATTTTCTCTATTCCACTTCGAATACAATCACTCGCTTGCCCTTGTTGGAATAATATACTTGCAACTCTGCGCCTGAGGAGAATAAAAGTTGTCCAATATTTTTCAAGCCAATTTCTCAAATAGTAAGAACATTGGCCTAACACTTACCATTGAATTGTCTAGTTACAGTTCCTGTTTTATAATCAGGTATTTTTAAAAAGGATGAAATAAATTCCACAAATTAGTGTTTTTTTTCACATTCCCAAAAGCACCATTGTTGAAAGAAGTCGCTCACCAGTACAGAATAAACAGCTGCATTGTACACTGCATAAACAGATGTTTCTGGCAGTCAAGGTACAAATCTTTCATCCCTCTATGCCATAGTTCCTAAATACTCATATACATATTGTGCCTTTGAGGAAATTAATTCTGCATCTTCAATAAAACCACCTTAATGTAAGAATATACCTTTTCTCTTCATCTAAACTTTTGCTTAAGCAGCACTCTCTACTCTAATATTGTCATGGCAGGGAGGTACAAACTAAAAGGTAGATTGTTAAAAACAATATTTAAAATGATATACAAAAATAAAACAAAATTAAACCAAAATGTTGATGCTTCAAGACAACCAGTATTCATGATACAAGAAAGTCGTTACCCATGCTGATTTAACCCAAGTTTTCAAATAAAAAATTTCAATAATGCAAATCTTGCCTTGTTCATTCACTTGTTTGTTACATTACATATCTTTCAACTGTAATGAATTCAGTAGGTTTTGTGCCTGCCCTTTGAATATAACCATGTTTTTTCCACATATACAAATTCCATACCTTCTTCCTTCAGAATCAAATATTCCCATCACAAAATTGGATCTTGCTATTACAATACAATTTATTTTCTAAAGTTATCTGCAATTTTTCCAGTTTTTCCAATCCATGACATGAAACACAAGCAAACTAGAAGCAGACTAAAGGCCCGCCTGTCAGCTGAATTTCTCATTTCTGTAGTAAAGTCTCCAAATGTTATCTGAATACAATAGGGCCTATGTATAAAATATTAACTTTTAAAAGTAGTAGTCTTGAACATAATTTCAGAATATTTCCACACTGTTCTATCACTATAACAAAATATTTACAATACAATACATCGACATGCACACTTTGCAGATCGAACCTTCCGTATTAACAAAGCTGTCTAAATTCTATCCCACAGTTACAAGGACCCACACAGTATCCCATTATTTCTGTATTATTTGAACACTAAAATATTATAGAATGTATTAAGTAAACTTCATAATATTATCAAATTAAAAATATCTGTTTTTTGTTTTGTTTTTGTTTGTTTTTTTGAGGGGGGGGGGCTGTTCTATTTTTCTTAATAGACATTCTTTGAACAATTTTCATTTTGTGACTTTGCCCTTTATCAAGTGGCTGTCATGAAAGAAAAGTGTATGTGAGACGCAGGGGTGTGCGGGTGCATGGGTGCATTTTTGTTTGTGGACAAATATATTCATTTGTTTTGTAAATAAGAAGCAATTTACATGTTTCTGAAATGCAAATTTTTGCATAGAAAGTATTTTTTCAAACCAATGGTAAAACTGGGGTCAACACTACAATAAATTTTCTTGGTACTCCCCTCTCTTTTCTGTTTATTCAGTGTTAAACGAAATGAAATTCCATAATGCACAATACAATAAATATAAATTACTAATTTTAAGTGTATAAAGGGATGTATTCATTGCTAATTTATATAGCAAGTATCAAAAGTGTATATTAATAGTTCTTAACATACCTAGAAATATTATAAGTGTTATTACTGCAGAGGCCAAAAGTTAAAAGTTTTGGCGAACAGAGCGGAGGCAAGATGTTTAATTTAGACGAGGCAGTTATAACACTGTAACATTTCGTGGTAAGTTCAGCATTTTATCAATCACCATAAAAGTTAGAATGAATCCCAGCTCAGTGGTTCTTTCTGTGTGTATCAAGTTTCATTTTATTATGTGTTTAATAAAAACATTTAATGAAACACTTCTAAAATAACTTTAATATTGCATGTAATCATTAAATATTAAAAACCAAAATTGAAAAAGAAATAAAGTAGCTCCATTTCAAAATGGCATGAAAGATACAGATATGACAATATACTGTTGTATTGTGTTGAAGTTGTGGAGTAAAAAGGATTGTATCTATGATATTGTGAAAACAAAACTTGCAAAAATGTGTTACTACTTGAAAAAGGTTGAGGAAAGTAATTAAAGACTGTATTATCTGCTATTTATTAAAGTAAATAAGTCTTAAAATTGCATATTGCTCTCTCTCTCTCTCTCTACCTCTCCGTCTTTTACCTCCCCCTATCTCTCTCTTACTTACTTCCCCCCCTCTCTCTCTTTTACCTCTCCCTCTCTCTAACACCCTCCCTCCCCTTCTCTTCAACACTCCCAAAATTATAATCTTTGTTATGCACTGATTTGTTTTGTTTTTACAGAAGAACCTCTAAATGTGACACTTGTAAAAAATGTGCTCAACCAGGTGAGCTAATATGTTGCTTCACCTGCTATACGTGTTATCATTTAGAATGCGGAAATTTTTCTCAAATGAGACGACAGCCAAAGAATTGGCAGTGCAAATCTTGTGTAGATGACACTGTTAGGCTTTCTAATGGTAAGAAAATATATTTGTTCAACCCCCCCCCTCTCTCTCTCTCTCACTCTCTCTCTCGCTCTCGCTCTCTCTCTCTCGCTCTCTATCGCTCTCTATATCTCTCTCTCTATCTCTCTCTCTCTATATCTCTCTCTCTATATATCTCTCTCTCTATATCTCTCTCTCTATATCTCTCTCTCTCTATATCTCTCTCTCTATATCTCTCTCTATATCTCTCTCTCTCTCTATACCTCTCTCTCTCTATATCTATCTCTATCTCCTTTTTTTTATTTTTATTATGTATATGATAGAGATAGGTGAAAAAACAAAACATGTTTGACAATCTTGAGATATACACTTATTTCTAAAATCCTATTATAAATTGATTGGCAATATCAACAAAAGTTTGAGAGCATTGATTGTAACTGGGATGTTCAATTTATTTGCATTGTAAAATTTATTAAAGTTGTTAAATTGTTTTGTTAAAGATGAACTTATGTGTGAAAACGAAGCAGAAGAGTCTGCAGCAGAAGAACCTCGAGGCAATAACCTTACGGTTTCCTTCGATGAGAGTTGCGGAGAAATTACAGACGAAAGTTGTGATGAGTCTAGAGATGAAAGTGCCAAGCGACCTGTGATGAAAAGACCAAACAAACTTGAAAGTCAGATTAAAGAATTTGAATCACTTATGAAGAATCTGGATAGTTTGATGGCATCCGCCTCTGCAAGAGAACGTCGTGGAAGCGCTTCGGCTGCTAGAGCGAAGATTGCATCCTTCACCAAAAGATTAAGAAGTAATTCTTGGGATGGTACGTATTACTGTTTGACCTTTCACCAAAAGAATAAGAAGTAATTCTTGGGATGGTACGTATTACTGTTTGACCTTTCAACAAAAGATTAAGAAGTAATTCTTGGAATGATACGTATTACTGTTTGACCTTTCACCAAAAGATTAAGAAGTAATTTTTGAGATGGAATGTTACTGCTCAACTCTTTCCATTACAATGACATTTTCAGCAATTTGCATTTATAGGCATGGCTTTGATGTCAATGTCTTCATCGCGACATCAGCCATTTATTCCATTCCTAGTACTTTGTTTTGAAAGGCTTATTTATAGATATGTAACTACAAATGACACTTCAACCCTGCAGAAATTACTGCAATTTGTTTTCATTTCCTTTTTTTTTTGTTTGAAGTCCGTCAAAAGCACATGAAATAATCACAAGTTAACAAACCTGTTTTTTGGTTTTTTTTAGACACCCTGGTCTTTGCCCAATACTTTATTAAGCCACATCTTCAAAACGTCTTCATCTATCCCGCCTTTTTGGTGCACACGAACATGAATATCTGTTGGCAGCTTTTCCTTCGTCAATGTTTTTATCTTGAAAATCAAAAATGGAGGCAGTTTTGTACCATCTGCCCAGCAGACCAGAGAAAGTGTGTTTTTTTCATGTGCTGCAGTTTTAATATTAATAGTTTTAACCTCTTTGCAGTCGACAGTTCTATGTCCTGGAACTTGCAATCTACTGCATTTTGAAGGGTGTCTTGTTTCTTGCTTGAATAACCTACCTGTGTGAAGTAATGATCTTTTTATATTCCACCAGGAGACTTTGTGATATTCAAATTCTAGTACTCATCGAATGACCACCCCTTTTCATAAATCTTCTACACCATTACGTTGACCCAATAAAATTTTCTCCATTCATTCTTCTTGCAATACTTTTGATTTCTATATCAATAAATTTTGTAGACATACAAATTCATGTTTTTCTGTTCTCCAAAACCCAATTTTAACAATTCTTTAATATCTAACCACTGAGGTTACTTCCCATGAAAACTGCATTTATTTTTCAGAGAAAGAGTGGGCTTTCCCTTATCTTTAAGCCGGTGATGTACTTGTACAGCTTTGAGGTAATGAACATATTGGTAACATAATACTCTTTAGTTTTGTTTTATTTTTTGCCAACAATATAGTACAACAATATTTTGGGGCAAGAGTTCCTTTCAGTCCTGTGTGAAGTGTGTGGTAAATGACAGTTTCATCAGGCAAAACTATCAGTGATAGTAATGCCTGAAACTAACTTTCACTCATTACTATCACTGTGGATGCTCCTTTTTAAGTTTTTTATTATCTGATGGTACTACTTGTGAACATTTGATCTCAATAATCCTTTATTTCGATTAATCCGAACTATACTATCTCTGCGCTTCCAGTTGCTATTGTTATAATTGATATTGTGTCCATGTCTTAATAAAGTATATTGCATTCTTTGTCACTTTTTATTTTCCCTCCAAAATGCTTTAATTTTATTTAATTTTTTGAAATTTCTTTTATAGATGATGATGCACACCAAACAAGTACAACTGATACATCTATGTCATCTTATAATGCACAAGACAGTGCTTCAAAAAGAAGAAGTTCACGGCGATCATTATTTGCTTCTGAAGATCTTCCATTAGATAATGCTATTCTACAAGATTTGTTGACGGAAATGCTTCAACACAAACATGCATGGCCCTTCGTTAGGCCAGTTAGAAAGTCACAGGTAGTCAATGGGATGAATACATGGTATAATTAAAGTTTGTTCCTTGACAAATATGTTTCTTATATTTCATCGTTGCAGCAAAGAATCAACCTTATTTAAACTTACCCACTGTGAAGTTAGTTTCTACTTATTTCTGTTCATAACTCTCCATCTTTTGGATAATTCCCAGTATTGTACAAAGTATGAATTTATATTACATTTTATATTACACATTACACTATAAGTGAATTAACAATGTTCAAAATATGGAAGAAAATGTTGACTAAAAATTTAATTAAAATATCTTAAATATAGAGAAAATAATGTATTAGTGAGATGTTGAAGTTGTACAAATAAATTGGCCAAATAACTTAGTTGTAATATTAGTCGTGGAATGAGATTTAATCATTTTTTGAAATCTTAAAATAGATGAATTGTTTTTGTGTAGATGAAAGTAAATTTCTTAATCCTTTTGTGACAATTGACAATTAATGAAGTAGGGAATTCCAAAGCATTGTTTTCAATGTTTAAATGTGAAACTGGGCCTTTGGACTCTTTAACTTTGTACTGGCTGAATCTCCATTCTACATCAGAAGAAGGGACCGTTTTGATTTTGCAATAGCTTGTGCTGTGAAAAGCGAAAAAGACTATTTGCTGCTCAAAATTGCATCAGAAATTCAAAATAATCCTCCACAAATAATTTTGAAAGAGTATGGAACATATAACAAATAAAATGTTGAAATGCGCAACAATATGTGAATTTTTCTTAAATGAAAATGTGTACTATACCTGGAAATGTGGATAATTAAATGTTTCGAATAACTTCAAAAAGCCATATGTATAAACATGACCAAAGTTTGATTTTTAACTAACGAAGAAAAAATATAATTATATACAAATCTCAGCCCTGATAATGATATTCAATTCTAACTAAAAATACTTATTTTGAAGAGTAATAAAATTGTGTTATTTCTCATTTTATTTTTTTTGCAGGTTCCTGATTATCACACAAAAATTAAAATGCCAATGGATCTGGGTACTATAAAGTACAAATTGAATACTGCAGAATATAAAACAAATACAGATTTTATGAAAGATATTATATTAGTATTTGAAAACTGCTTTATGTATAATCATGAAAATAGTATCGAGTACCAGTAAGTAATTTTTCATTATGTGTTTTGTTTAAATTGACAGATTTACTTTATTCTTGATTATTTCTTACAGTTGTGGAAAGAACCTGCTAAAATTTTTTGAGCAAAGAAGTCGTGAACTTGGCCTCAATTGGAAGAAGGATGAAACAACAGTAGAATAAGTTTCAAAAGAGTGTGTTTTCAGTTCTTTTTTTCTATATTTATATATTATATACTACTATATATACTATATATATATATATATAATATTTTTTTTTTTAATACACTTATTCAAAGTGTTAGAACCTGTGAGGACAAGAATGAACTTTGTTAAATTTGTGTGATTTTTACTCTTAAAGAAGTGTTTTAAAAAAATGTTAAGTTCTTAAAGCTGATAAACTTTTTGAAATAAGTTTGTTTTTTGTTGTTTCTTTTATAAATTTTTTGTGATGGTAATTATTATTGAGAAGATTAAACTCCATTTACGTTTTTTCATGCTATGGATTCACAATTCCATATACTTTAGCTATAACATTCCATCATTAAATGTGCAAATTAAGATTTGTTTGTTACAAATTTGGCAGTTTAGAAAACTCCGTATACAGTACACATAGTGATATTTTATGTAAGAACGTACATGCTATTTCAGTAACGAGAACCTTTGGTACGTATACAGTGAATATTAAATTCAAGTGATATCATCACGTAATATTAAGATTTTTTTGTGTTCTTTTATTAAAGAAAAGTTGGTTCTATAGGCAGTGGTGTGGGGAAGGTTATTAAGTGATCTGAAAATTAGCGGTGAGAAACCAAACATATTTTTTTTAAATTAAATTTGTAGAATCTTAATATAACGGTACTCTTCTCAAATTCGCTGTTTTTACCATCGTAACAACCAGTATTAAATCTGTTGTAATTATTTCTAAATAAAGTTTATATTCGTGGAATTACAGTTTTTTTATGTAAAAACAAGTGATTCTAGTAGAACCCATTGAGGTGGGTTGGTCCACATCCTGAAGGGGGATACAGAGAAGGCTTTCAAGTGTTTTTTTCTACATTTTTTTCATCTTGCTTCTAATTTCATGTTAAATATTCTTTTTCACTTTTTTCTTCCTCATTGGCCTTCTCTGTACGGTGATCGCCCATCTCTGTATTCTCCAGGCAGTGAGATCCATGTCGCAGGAAATGGTTGACTGGAGAGTTGAGGGGTCTGTATGCGTTTCCGACTGTCACATTGACGCTGGTTTCTTGTGGGTGGGCCCGTTCTGGCCATGTACGCTGTGACAACACCGGTAAGTCCTGTGTTGGTTGTGCTGAGAGGAGGTCCCAATACACTTATTTTGGCCTCGGACTCTTCTAGACAGGCAGTTGGGAGCCATTCCCGATCAATCGATTCGGACTAAATCTCGTATTGAACTCCAGGGTGAGCGCTGTGACACCACACGGACGGACACAGATACAATTTATGCGAGTCAGCACTGGACCCCTGTGGGATGTTTCCTTGTTGAACACTATAGTGGATGGGAGCACTGAGCCGAAACCTCTTCAATTCTATGGAGCACAAAAAAAACGTTGCCCTCTTCGGCAAGGAAGAGACTATGATTTGAACATACGGTTGAGTTCAGTAGTTTCTTCCTTGAAGAAGAAGATAGACCTGAAAGGCTACATTTCCTTCTGATGGCATGCACGAAAGAAAGAAAGACTTTCAAGAGTGAAAGCAGTTCATCTCGTGTGAGTCGTAGATGACTCCTTCGGTAAGCTCCTAGAGGTGGTGCGTCAAAGAAATGGTATTCTCTTCGAAGCACGCATGGACGAGCAAATCAAAAATATCTCAAATACCAAACAGATTGTCGGCTTCCAAGTGGAAGTGATTACTCGCCCTACCCTTAACGTGTGTAAAGGAGTGGTCAACCACAATGATTTCGCGTCTGAAACCGAAGAGGGAGTTCTCGCCTTTAGAAATCAGGGTGCATGGGAGTAAGATCCCCACTCCCACCTTGATCCAGACGTTCTATCTCCCTTCTTTCCCAGAGAGGATTAGTTGTGGGTTTTGTAATCTCTACATTTAGATTTATGTATCAAAAACTGTTTGGGGAGAACATCTTCGCACGTCGCACGTTTTCTCGAGTTCCAGAATCCCTTCCTATCATTTCAACTATAAATAGTTGAAAGAAGAGTAAAAGTTAAGGATAAAGAAATAAAAATTAAATTTAAAAAAGGGTGCGATCAGCAACATTTGCAGAACTAGACATTTTCGTTCGAGTTATAGAAAACTTACTTGCACCGGTAAACAAACTGCAGACTTTATTTTTCTGCATTGCTAACAAAATAGTAACTCGTCTTTACCTTTACTCCTACCACTACAAGCAAAAGGAGAGTTCAAGAAAATGTGTGCATAATGAAGCTACATTTACGTCCAGAAGCAAAACAGGTGGCCATCTCAGCATTTACTCAATGGATCAGGGAAACAGGACAAAAACCTGATTGAGATGGAGGTCATTGACCTGGAAGCTGAAGTACATTATTTGTTATAAGCATATTAAGTCTGTTCAAAAAATGAAAACAATACAAATGTAAACTAATTTATTATTTATCACTGTTTTGTTAAAATATTATTTTTATATTTGTGATCAGTATAGTCTCTTAACTATAGAAATAGTTATGCAGCAGAAAATATGTTACTTTTAACTTAAATTTGTATACCGACTTCAATTGTTTAATGTCATCTGGCAATGCGTTGTAAAGCAACACGTATTTGGATTTCTGGTTGTGAGCTGTTGATACTGACTTGTGATGAACGTAATTTCTTCGACGTGTGTTGTAATTATAAATATCAGTATTGCATAAACATGTTCCCACCGTTAAGTAAGTCAGTTTTGACAAATATTACAGATTAGTAAATAAATAGGCAACGCAATGGTAAGAGCTCAATGAAGAGAGGCTTGCGGGGATCAGCCGGATGGCATTTTTTCATTATTCCAATAATTTTCTTCTACAATATAAAAGTCTGGATACTACATGATGAGCTTCCCAAGAATATTATGCCATATCTCTGGCGGGAATGCACATTTGCAAAATACACACAACGAGCTGCATGAAGGTTGGCAGAATTTGAAAGAATTCTGAATGCGTAACATAATGAACGTAATTTAGTGTATAATTCTGTTATATGTCCACTCCATTTGATATTTGACTGAATTGAGAGACCTAAAATTTTGTTTCCTTAACATCGGGTAATTGCAAATTGTTCATTTTCAAAGGAGCATGCGATTACTGATTTTAAATACAAAAATGCATTGAATGTTTTTCCTTCGTTAACTATTTGTTATTACAAACCCAATTTGAAACTACTGAAATCGTACAATTTATTGTTTCTTTCTTTTTTTCTCTTCCGTTTTTAATAGACGAGGGTATATCGTTTACGTATAACAGAAAGAGGACCTAAGATCGAACTTTGCGGGACCCCATATTCAATTGGTAAAGAATTGGAAAGATAAGTAAATAACGTCCTTTCGTGCCAGCATGGTATTTATACTCTTTGAGATCGATGTTTAAGGTACGATGTTATCCAACCTATGACGAACCCACGAATTCTACGGGAAGGTGATTTTGATAGTGTATGTTGTGGTCAATAACATCAAAAGCTTTCGAAATATCTAAAAATATTTCAATGAGTGCTTCATTTTGTTCCATTGATGAAGCGGCATCTTCAAGACAAGAAAAAATGCAGTTTTCGTAGATTTTGATTTTCTAAAACCGTGTTTTAAGTCTGAAAACGCTTCGTTTTTACGGAGAAATGTTTCCATTCGCATATAGAAAAGCCTCTCTAATATTTTCTAGAGAACTGACAAAAGAGAAATTAACCATTAATATTGAGTTTCATTTTTGTTCCCCTTTTTAAAAAGTGGCTTAATTTTTGCAGTTTTGAAAATATCTGGAAATATTCCTGAGCGTAAAGAAGCATTGAAAATCTGAGTTGACACGTGTTTAAAGGTTTTCAATAAAGAATCTGGATATTCATCATATTCATCTGGCGAATGCCAGAGCAGTATTTATTTATGTATTTACGTTAAAAACAGTTGTGTGTGACGTGCTATGTGGAGAAGTTAATTTGAAGTTACATTACAGTACCCTAACAAACGGGTCGCGGACCGCGCGCGATCTCACCTTCCTCTTCCTTGTCCTATCCTTACCCCTTACACCCACACTAACACGTACTACACTACCACACATGCCGGGAGACTCGTTAAGTGCTAAGAGCTTGTTCCGGCTGGGGCAGTGCCCTGCTAGTAGGAGATACTTGGTTGGGGAAAATCCCGCTAGTCGACGGTAGGTCCACTTGTCAGCCCCGCAGAAAGGTTGCCACTCGGCCCTCTGGCCCGGGCACGCTTCAAAATGATTGATCCTCCAAACTCCGACCACTTACACGCCATAAGCGATCTCTTAACTTGTCGAGTGCTCTGGAGTCTTCCTCGGGGGAAACCAGCCGGGGTGGACACCCGCCTCTTCGAGCTACAGAGGCGGGAAAAGGGAGTGAAAGTCCTCTTAACTACTTCTCTCTGTTACTCTGAAATTTAATGGATTTTTTCTCCGACGGGACAAACTAAAACTCTTGTCCCGTTATACGCCTTCCATTTTTTGTTTACAGGAGACATCTTGTTCCACCAAGCCCCTTATCCTTTCGCCGTTTTACCCCATATAGGGTTGATTTCGATAACGGCCTTCGTGCTCACGGCGGAGTTGCTACTTTGGTTCACGATTCGATGCTTTTTGCAGGGTCCCTATTCAGACAGACCTTCCAAATTTTTGTGTGCAAATGTACCTCCCATTCCTCACTAAATCTACTAGTGTGCATTTCTGCAGGACGTATCACTTGCATAGCAATCCAGTCCTTTACTAGGGAGGAAATCAGCTTCCATTCGCTGAATCTACCAGGTTCCTGGGACTCTCGTTTGACAGTCCCTCACGTGGCGTGATCATATCCGCACATTACAAACTAGATGTGTTTCCCTCCTAATCATCTTCTTATGCTGTTAGTACCACGTGCAGCCGACCGCATTGCACTATTGCGGTAATATAAATCACTCATTTGCTCAGCCTTGGATTATGGTAGTGAAATGTATGGCTCTGCAGCTCTTTCCATTCTCCGTCCCGTCAATATCATATATCACGCTGGTATCCGCCCCTCAACAGTTGCGTATCTCACTAGTCGAATTCGAGTGTCTTGGCAGTTTCAGGATATGATGGAAGGATATTCGGATCATATATTGTTCACAGATGGTTGGTCGTACAATGACGCAGTGACATGTAGTTTTTATTGTATGAGGATCGCCAAATCATATCGGCTTCATTCTCACTGCAGTGTATTCACTGCCGAAACGTAAGCCATTCTCGAAGTCTTAAAATACATCGAGTCAGATAGGTCGCGGTGAGTCAGCTCTCTTCAAGGTGTCTCCCTTTCTTCCTCAGACTACCCGACAAAATCAGAACAAAACCTGATTCGTCTTCTCTCGTGCCACTATGATCTGCTACTTAGCTGGGTGCCAGGCCATGTGAGAATTACAGGGAATGAGCTGGCCGACACAAGTTCATTAGTAAGGTCCCCATTCTGGGTTCGCTACCTCCATCTCAGAGATGATTTCTTTGATTATGACATTTGGCCGATGATTTTTTCCGCAGATGCCTAGTGTTGGAATCTATGGAACTGAAGCGATATATTTGTTTCAAGGAGAGAATTAATTTTTAAGACGTTATATTGACGGTCACTATAGCCGAGGTTCAGAGTTCCTTATAACCGAATCTTCTTTTATCTGTAATGTAAGTGAAACGGGATCAGTAACAAGTTCACTATAACTGGAGTCTACTGTATTGTCAGTCCTTTGGGAACTACTGACACGGACACACAAAGATATTAGCATACGGTATTTATTGTTCAACCTGCTACGAA